AGGCCCCGTGCCCCATTCCCCGCCCCGGAGCCAGCCAGTCCCTGCCCTGGGGCCGGTGCCAACACTGCCCCTGCTTAGCCTGGATTTAAGCCCTTTCCGATCATTAGCTCTGATTCCACAGACCTCCGGGCTGCAGAGGAAACTTCCTTAGCCCGGCTTTGCAGAAGGGGAAGTGAAGCAGAGAAATGAGGTCTGGCCCCGTGAGGTCACCGACAGTTGCTGTTAGCTGTCCAGCCCCCCCTCTAACCACTAGCCCCCACTGCTCTCCCAGAGCTGGGGAAAGAACCCAGGAGTCCGGGCTCCCCGCCCCCCCCAGCTCTAACCACTAGTGACCGGAGTGCAATTTACATTCTCGTTGCAGGTGTCTCTGTGCCGGGCCACTCAACTCAGCCCCAGCCGGGAGCGGGAAACTGAGGCTCTTTTAAGGCACCTGCCATCGGATTGGGGAGTGGGGGAGCTGTCAATCACGGTGAGGGGGCGGGATGTAGCTAGAAGCCCCGCCCCGGGTCACTCATTGCCGGGAGTGGGTGGAGTCACTGCGTGCGGGGGTCAGTGGGTGGGGTAGGGGATGTAAGCAGGGCGTGTTCTGAGCTGTGCCAGCAGGGGGCAGTGCCAGACCCACACGCACACACACAACCAGCAGGGAGCAGCGCACACACAGACCAGCACACACACCCCGCCATGCCCCAGCCCCTGGCCCTGCCCCTCTGGCTCCTTGCAGCCGCCGCCTGTGCCCGCTGTGCTGGCGCCTTCGGCTTCACCTGGTGCCTGCTGCCCTACGAGCTGCCAGGCTACGCCAGCTGTGCCGGGCGCGGCATCACCCAGCTGGGCCCGGCCATCGCCCCGCTGCCCAACTCCACCCTCTGGCTCAACGCCTCCCAGAACGCCCTGCAGGGCCTGGCGCCCGCCACCTTCGCCCACCTGCCCCGCCTGCGGGAGCTGCGGCTCGACCGCAACCGCATCCGCGCCCTGCAGACCGGCGCCTTCCAGGGCCTGCGGGAGCTGGAGCTGTTGGATCTCAGCCAGAACCGGCTGGCGGCCCTGGGCCCCACGGCGCTGGCGGAGCTGACGGGCCTGCGGGTGCTGCTTCTGGGGGGCAACGCCCTGGCCGCCCTCCACCCCACCGCCCTGGCGGCCCAGCCCGGCCTGCAGGAGCTCCACCTGCCCCACAACCAGCTCTCCCGGCTCCAGGAGGTGGCCACGGCCGCCGGGAAATTGGCCAACCTCTCCATCCTCGACCTGGACTCCAACCGGATCTCCGCCCCGTGCCCCGGCCCCGGCCTGCTCTCCATGCCCTTCCTGCGGGACCTCAACCTGCGGAACAACAGCATCGCCTGGCTGGATCTCGCCCGCTGCTCCCTACCCAGCCTGCGCTCGCTCAACCTGACCCGCAACAACATGAGCCGGCTGGCGGCCGGTTCCTTCCGCGCTGCGCCCGGCCTGGAGAAGCTGAGTTTGGACGAAAACCCCCTCAGCATCTCCCATCTTCTGGGCCTGCCATTGCCCAACCTTACAGCCCTGCACTGGTCCAGCATGCGCCCGGCGCTGGACTCGGACCTGGGGCTGGCCTGCCAGGTCCTGGAGAGCCTGCCTGCGCTGACCAGCCTGGACATCAAACACTCCAAGGTCCCGCCGTCCCGGCTGGCCCAACTGGGCGCCTGCACCAACCTGACCTGGCTGGACCTGTCCACCACCCCGCTGAGCCGGCTTCAGGAGGGTGTCTTCCGCTCGTTCCCCCGCCTGGAGTCCCTCTTGCTGGACAAGTGCAAGGTCCAGGAGCTGAAGCAGAGCGCCTGGGGTGGGTCGCTGCCCCGGCTCCGGGTCCTCGTCCTGCGGCGCAACCACCTCACCAAGCTGGAAGACGGCGTCTTCCGGCCCCTCAGCGCCTTGACCCACCTGGACCTGTCCAGGAACCGCCTGACCTACCTCTACAAGGGGACCTTTCTGGGCATGGCCTCCCTGAGGACCCTGCTGCTGCAGGGCTGCCAGCTGGCATCCGTCACCCGTGACACCTTGGTCTACGCCCGCAAGGTGGAGACCTTGGACCTGAGCGACAACAACCTCAGGTACATCAAGGCGTCCGCCTTCCAGAGCCTCCACCATCTCCACACCTTGCTGCTCTCCGGCAACCGCATCCTCACCCTCCAGAAATGGGCCTTCAAGGGGCTCACCTCCCTCCGCCACCTCTCGCTGGCCCAGAACGGTCTCTACAAACTCTCCCAGGGCTCCTTCTTGGGCCTGAAGGCCCTGGAGACCCTGGACCTCAGCCGCAACCGCCTCCTGGCCTACGACAAGTACGACTCGCCCGCCCCCTTCGCCGGCCTGCCGGCCCTGCGGGGCCTGGATCTCAGCTCGCAGGAGGCCCGGCCCCCCGTCCGGCTGCCCTCCCAACTCTTCCAAGGGCTGGGGAACCTCCAGGAGCTCAACCTGAGGGACAACCCTGGCGGCGTCTTCCTCAACCTCTCGCTGGCTCCCTTGACTGGCCTCCTCTCCCTGGATCTCTCCGACATCTACCCCAGCCGGGAAGGGCTCTTCAGCCTCCGCCCGGGGCTCTTCCGAGGCCTGGGCAGCCTCCGGTGGCTCAGGCTGGACGGCAGCTCCCTCCGGGACCTGCCCGGCGAGGTCTTCTCCAGCCTGGTCTCCCTGGAGTGGCTCTCGCTGCGGGAGAACGGGCTGCGCAACGTGAGCCGGGCCCCGCTGGCCGGCCTGCCTGCGTTGCGCTTCCTGGACGTGGCCGGGAACCCCTTGGCCTGCTCCTGCGAGAACACCTGGTTCCAGAACTGGTCGGCGGCGGAGCCGAGGGTCCAGGTGGCC